AATTATCATGATTCAAGGTCTTTCAGTTATGTAGTAGTTGTTTGAAGGAAACGTTTACGACGGACAGACAAATGACGATGTGTTGTCATGGCGTAAACTCACAAAATGCCGTTTCAATATTTAGCAAATGGAAACATTATGCAGTAAAACTGATAAAATATCAAAACATATACATCTATGCAGATTCATTATATTATTTTCCCCCAAGAATTAGAGTGCAATTTCAAAGGAATGTTCAAGATGGCGGTAATTTTTGATACCTGATCGGTCCGAAATATAACATTGCTATGGCAGAAACGTACTTAAATGTTTGAAGAAAGACGATAATTCTTAAAGTTGCTAAAAGACAATTTATTTATTTATGGTATATACATTAGACAAAACATTCCACAATAGTAAAATAAAGTGACAAACAATAGTAAATAAATCAAGGTTCTAAAGATCAAGCAGACAAAAGTTAGAGATGTCAATAGGTTAAAATTTCGTGAGTGTCGTCTTGCAAGTTCCAAATCCATATCCCTGACAGAAGTACAAACATACTGTTTTATACCAATTCACCAGGAAGGGGTCGGGGTGGGACTACGCAGCACTCCAAGCACATTGTTAACATTTTTCAAACTATCAACAAAGGTACAGCAAAAGCGGGACGTAAATACCTGTCATACATTTAATGTTGTCTAAGTCTAAATTATAGTCCTGTTCAAGCTATCATTGCAATGAACTTTCCTTTACAGTTTTGAACTTAATCTGTTAAAAAATTTTGGCAATTGAATAAAGAACAATAACTTCATACATTACAATCCGATAGATGCTTTTATCGAACTTGTCCGAGCTATCATATGAAGTTTGAAGTTATTCAGTTGAAACTTCTCGAGATATCAACTGGACACCGTTTGCATTCGACGGGCGTATAAAACCTAGGGGTTCTGTTCTGACTCTAAACCTTTGTCCAACTTGTCATCTGTGAGGAAATCACTCAAATTAAAACTTATTTGCTGCCAATTTGGCACCGAAAGAAAACCCAAACATTCAATGGTACAAGTTGTATGAACGGTCGATGCAATCGGTGCAATATTTAGTCCGCGTATAATTATACAATAGTACTTTGTCCGCGTTATAATAATATTAAACCAATAAACCAATTCAGATATACAGCATACCTCTGACTAACATGGTGACACGTAGTCGTATAAAAACAAGGTTATATTAACAAGGTAAAATACATGCTAGTAGAAAACGTAGGTTTATGCAGCAAAACTATATACATTGGAACTACAAAAATAATCAAAAAGAAGTTTGATGATAGCACATGCATGTTAAACGAAGATATGTAACTGACCCTACGACAATAAGATGAATTTAATCTGTATAAACGGTCCTCAGCATAAATATGCATCGTAAATAACACACAGACAGCGTATACATGCTATTTCAACACTAAGCTGGTATACAATACAAGGTAAGTATGTATTATTATGACACTTGACCTACATATCCATCAAACAAACAATAGTATGATTGACAGTCGGTAAATCGGTACAATATTTAGTCCGCGTATACTAATCATACCATAGTACTTTGTCCGCGTTATAATAATATTAAACCATTAAACCAATAAACCAATTCAGATATACAGCATACCTCTGACTAACATGGTGACACGTAGTCGTATAAAACAGTGTAATAACAAGGTAAAAAGCATGCTAGTAGAAAAAGTAGGATTATGCAGCAACACTATATACATTGAAACTACAAAAATAATCAGAAAGCAGTTTGATGATAGCACATGCATGTTAAACGAAGATATAACTGACCCAACGACAATAAGAAGATTTTAATCTGTATAAACGGTCCTCAGCATAAATATGCATCGTTAATTACACACAGACAGCGTATACATGCTATTACACCACTAAGCTGGTATACAATCCAGGGTAAGTATGTATTATTATGACACTTGACCTACATGTCCATCAAACAAACAATATGTACATTGTAACTTAACATTTACAATATAGTTAACACAGATTAAATACCGACTTTATTAAAAACCAATGTCTTGTCTTATTATTGATAGCCAAATGGATATAACTGCATTACAAAATAAAGAAAGAAAGATCTATGTTAACTTGTATTTGTGTGTCGGGGGAGGGGGTGTCACAACCTCCATTTATGCAAAAATAGGTCCCCTTTGCCTAAATATGCTCTAGAACAAATTTGGTCTAAAACCCGCCATTGGTATAGTAGAAACATGTTTTGAAAGATTCACAAACAAGAGGCCCATGGGCTTTAACGGTCACCCGAGTCCTACAGTATTAATTTTTGTTGTTAGAATATGAAGTGGAAATAGTGATGTCAATCATCCCTTACAAAATCTGAGTAAAAATAGGTAAGTATAACTTTAAGTTAAGTTTGTTAGGACCATGAGTCGACCATTCCTACCAAGTTTCAGTTAAATGGGCCCAGTATAACTTGACTTTAAGTTTGATATAGTGTTTCAAAATGACGGCCCTGGCGGCCATATTTGATTTCTGATCGACCCAAGAAATGTTAATACCGGTGCAATGCTCATTTGTTAGCTTTGATTTGTTTTATTTCACCTTATATACCTCCTCCATCAAGAGCCAGAGTCAAAGTCAGAGATCCACTTTGTCTTTGACCTTTGGACCCAAATACCCTTGACCATTAACCCAGTGACCCTGATCTTTGGTCAGTTGACATATTCTTTAATTCCGACCAACTTTGCTTCATAATATCATAACAAAATATTCATCAGTTAAAAAATACAAAACTTGACCTTGACCATTTGGACCCCGTAACCTGGACCTAAGGTCAGTTGACTCTGTGTTAAGTTCTGATCAAGTTTGCTACATAATAACATAAAAAAAAGTTCATAAGTAAAAAAATACAATAATTGACCTTGACATTGACCACATGACCTTGACCTTAAGTCAGTTGACTCCTTTTTAAATTCCGACCAACTTTGCTACATAATGTCATAACAAAATGTTCATCAGTGAAAAGATACAAAATTTGACCTTGACCTTTGACCAAGTGACCTTGCCCTTTGGTCAAACGACTCCTTGTTTAATTCCCACAAACATTGCTTCAAAGTGTCATAATGAAATGTTCACCAGCAAAAAAATACTAATTTTTACCTTGACCTTTGACCGAGTCCCTTAAGTCAGTTGACCCTTTGTTAAATTCCGACCAACTTTGCTTCATAAAGTCATAACAAAATGTTCATCAGGGAAAAGATACAAAATTTGACCGTGACCTTTGACCTTGGGTCAATTAACTCCTTGTTTAATTCTGACCAACATTGCTGCATAATGTCATAACAAAATGTTCATCAGGGAAAAGATACAAAATGTAACCTTCACCTTTGACCCAGTGACCTTGAACTTTGGTCAATTGACTCCTTGTTTAATTCTGATCAACTTTGCTTCATCATGCTGGTGGGTTTTTTAGTCCCCGAAGTTTGCTGTAACCTTGAAGTCTACAGGTATCTTTTTTCTATTCAAATTGCCGTTCGTCCGTGGTCCGTCCGTCCTTAAACAATTCTTGTTATTGCTATTTCTGAGGGGATCTTTCTCAAATTCGATATTAAGGTTTTCCTTGGTCAAATTGTGCATATTATATTTTGAGACTGATCAGCCAAACAAAATGGCCGACAGACAGCCATCTCGGATTTTCATAGTGAAGGTTTGTTATCGCTATTTCTTAAGATCTAGAGGGATCTGTCTCAAGGTAAGGTAGGTTCCATTTGGTCTAAAATTGTGCATGTAAACGTTTGAGACTACATAATTGAATAAAAGAAATGGCCGACAGGCATCCATCTTGGATTTTGAGAGTGAATGTTGTTATTCTATTGCTCAGGAAGTAAATGAGGGACCTTTCTTAAGTTTGATATGTAGGTTACCCTTGATTTCTTGTTGTGCATGTTTTATTTTGAGATGGTTCTGTTTAACATAAATGCCGAGAGATGACCATCTTGCATTTTGACAGTGAATGTTAGTTATCGCTTTTTCTCGGGATTTTTCTCAAATTTCATATGTAGGTTCCTGTCATTTCTTATTCAACATGATTAACTTTGAGGTGGTTCGGATAAAAACAATGGCATATATGGTTATCTTGGATATTTGACAGTGTTTGTTCGTTTTCGCAATTTCTCAGGAAATACTTGACAGATTTTTCTCAAAGGAGGGGTGTGAATTTGGGCCTTTTGGTGGCTATCACCGATAAGTTTATGTTTTGTATATACATACCTTAGGGTTATGCTATCATGATATGAAACAAAATTAAGGTCAGCTCGGAGACCATTCCGAGATATGAGAGGGTAAAGTGGGGGACCAAAATCATAAATGGTCTCGTTTTGACAAAACTACATATTATATTTTGAAAGTTTATTCATAACTTTGATATAATGTGTTACATGTTGTATTTATAATATCTTAATCAAATCTCAATAAATGGGGGTCAAAAGGAATAGAGAGGAGGGGGATTTTCTTCATACTTTTTTAACACTTATAGTTATATGTTACTATATTTATTGGTACAAAAGCCACAAAACTTTTATCTTTTATTAAAAAATTTAATTTTATTTAACAAAATGTCTATAAACACTTACTTTTTGATATATCTGAATGTTGGATGCATGTCTAAATACAGATATCAGTTCAGTTGTTGTGACTTTGTGCTAAAAACACTGTCATTATGAATAAAAGTGTTAAAATAAGGAGATAAAGATAAAAAATCCCCACCACTTCTAAACAGTTAAGTTCATGTAATAAGAAAGTTTTGTAAAATTATCTGTCACAGTTTCTGATATATGGTCTGGAAATGACAAATCTTGCATTTCTTGGGTTTTAAAATTAAAACTAAAATTTGAGGTTCCTACTTACCGCTTTATCACCTGCCATTTAGGCGCTCACAGCTAGCATTTAACAACTCTAGCACTGCCCAGCCACTTACTCATTTACAGCTGAGTAAACTAAAAGAAGTGGAGTAAAGTATCTTGTTCAAAGATACAACACAGTGCCGTGACGTAACTCGAACCCGCAACCTTTCAGTCACGAGCCTGGCTTCTTACCACTAGACTGTCGTCCCTCCAGCTTTGTGTATATATGATTGACAGATGGGAAGTATTACTTTAACGAATGCATGTGCTTGCATGGGTATGTCTGATGTTTATACCATAGTATTTAGTATATAAACCAAATGTTAGATATACAAAAAAGTATCTTAATTTCAGTCCGTTTCTCGGTCTTCCTAATTAACTGTCCAAAGCCATTAAAACAAACAAAAATCCAAAAAATATTTCTTCCAAATACTATCATAATCAGTATGTCATGAAAAAGCTTTCCTTTTACCTCCAGGTTTGTATTTTCAAACCCTTTCATATTCTATTTTGATATTAGGGACTTTATCGAGTCCATCTTTCAAGCTTCGAGTCAATGTTGGTTTTCTAGAAAGTCCAACTGGAATGGTGCCTTTTTTTTTCACAGTGACATTTTTTGATACTATGGATAGCAGCTTCACCTCCCTGTTATGTATGTCTTTTGGATCATAGAAGAACACGATAGCTCCACTGTCGCCCTCCTCTGCGAAGATGTTGTCCCCGTTTCCGATGATGAGGATTCCTTTTTCGTTACACACGCAAGCCTCCTCGCAGTATACAATGCCCGAAGTACATTGAGTTGCAGCTCCTCTTTTATGCACTGGCCAGGGCTTGATTTGAGCCTCCTGATATACGGACGCCCTGCAGACTTTGTCCTTTTCATTACGAAATTGAAAGGTGCAGCTATGTTTCATATTATTGTTAATGTTAATGACCGCGATGTCGACATCAATCGAATTATGACTTTGCACACACTGCCCGAATTCCTCTGGAGTGCTGTTGTTTTCTATTTGGACGATTTGCCTCTCATTTACAAAATGCCCAGCGGTTATTGCTACCACCGAATTGTCAGCGTCAGCGTCTTTGCCGAAACAGCCTAGGGTTCCCCAGTAATCTGTTCCTGTGTTGGTAAGTTTACAACCTGGAGCAGTAAGATCAGCCATTTTTATGTTTTTAACCCATACCAATTTAGGTTTCTCTTTCAGCAGTTTCCGCAAACATTTTTCGATACTATCTGCAATGCCTGTCTTGTCAGCTTTTTGTTTTGGTTCGACAACAAGAACTAAGAATCCGTCAATAGTGTTGCAAAAGCCCCGGATATCACAATCCTGCAAACTAAACAAAAGTAATGGTTAAATTACAGAATAATACTACAATCGCGCCAAAGAACAATTAAATTATGCTTCAACATTACCATAAAAATCTGTTGTTTGATGAAGGTTAATGCAATCTAATAACAAGTGTAAATGATTCGATATATGCTATTCATTGAGGCTGGTCTTCGTTTTTCAATAAATAAGCACAGGTTATTTATGAATGACCAATTCGGTGGCGGGCAAGGACAACCTCATCTCGGCGGTTTCCTCTATATCTTGAATACCGTTCACCGATTTTCGGTTTGACACAGTGTAATTTGTTGTCTACGCATTCATTCCAGGTGTTTTTTTGCCATTTTGACCTAAAGCTCCAGAAAACAAGATATCCCAAAAGGATCTTATCGCCCACCATCGTATTTTACAACAGTTGAAATAGTATTTTGTAACAAGAGATCCAAGAGGGATCGTGGCGCCCACCATCGCACCATCTTTATTAGTTCTATGTCAGTTTGACCAAAACACACGCATACACTACAAGCATACATCTTGCACACAAGGGAAGCCGTCCTTATATGAACATAGCTGTTGATAGGACGTTAAACAATACTAAACCAAACCAAACCGCGCTATCACAAGGAGGCAAGCACACCAACATTACCTGTCTCCTGTATATACACACACGCAAGCACGCATACAATACACACATTAAGGCAAGTCCTTTAATGACCTTAGCTGTTAATAGGACGTTAAACAAAATTAAACCAAACCAAACCAATCCTAAATTCACTATGGCCACCTGCCGGTCATCTTAGTTTTCCAATTATCCCCAAATTTCAAAATACGGAACTATGAACCAAAGGAAACCTTTATGTGAAATTTGAGAAAGACCCTTCCTGATCATTCTGAGAAATAGCACTACAATCTTTAACTCTTTAATTCAACATGGCTGCCTGTCGGCCATCGTGGTTTTGTTATCGGACCTAACAAGAGATCCCAGAGGGATCTGGGCGCCCACCATCGTACCATCTTTATAAGTCCCATAATAACTGACGGCATTAGTGTTTTTAAGATGAGTCTTAATATGAAATTTGAGAAATATCCCTTAATTGTTTTCCGAGATATAGCAATAACAATCCTATACTGTCAAAACTAAAGATGACTGCGTGTCGGCCATTTTGTTTATCCGATCAGTCTCAAAAGTAAACATGCACAACAACGGTTTGGTTTGGTTAAGTATTGTTTAACGTCCTATCAACAGCTATGGTCATTTAATGACGGACTCCCCTGTGTGCAAGATGCATGCGTGTAGTGTATGCGTGTGTGTTTTGGGAGGCTGCGATATGCTCGTGTTTGTTTCCTTTTGATAGTGCGGAACTGATGCCGACTTTATAGTGCTACCTATAGTGCATGACACCGTACCCGGTCACATTATACAGACTCTGGTATGTCTCGGCCAGAGGACAGAACACAAAGCCTTCCTCACAGGAACGCTCAAATAAAGGCCAAAAGTGAGGCATTGTCAAAGGAGACATTAGGAAGAAGAAGGTTGTTTAGAAAGAAGAAAAAAGAAAAGATCCCTAAATTTAGTCACTTCTCATGATTATAAAATTGGGGCAGCAGGTACAATTTGTATGCCCTTGCTGCATGGACGCAATTAAACAATACCTTCAAGCGCAAAATAATTAACAAGAGGCCAGAGGCGGCTAACATGAAATTAAATCGAAAATGTCTTAGCCGATCAAAGATTGGCACTTATAGTACCGACACTTGTTTTGGGACGTAATAAAGAACATTTAACCATATGTTGAGTCGGTTGTTTCAGCAGTTTGTGTAAAACAGTCAAAATAGTCTCGACTTATCAGACGCTAGGGTTGTCATTTTGGATTATCAGATCGGCACGAAAAGTAAAAACAATTGGCATAGGAAATAGGAAAGGTGTTTTTTTCAAATTTTAAGTAAATTGCTTTAGGTTTTCTTGAGAAGTTGAAAATGTCTCAACCAAATCAGAAGCATGACGACCATCTTGCATTATATAGTAAATAAATCTGGTATAGATGAAAAAGGATATTATTAACAAAGATTCATCCTGAATTTAGTCATTCCGGGTTGCTTTTAGCAAATCTCCGAGCGGTTTAAATTTGCAATCACCACTTTAAAATTATGTAAGTCATTAGAAAAGTGTGTATATCATGAACCATGCAACTACTAAAAAAAGATGACTGTGCCATCAAGGTAACGGCAAACTTCTGGGACAAAATATTCACCATCAGCCTTAACCGAAACTTTCGGTTTAGTTTGGTTTTATTTTGATTAAAGTGCTATTGACAGCTAAGGTCATTTAAAGACGTGCCTCCATGTGTGTAGTGTAAGCGTGCGTGTAGGAATGCCTCCTTGTGATTACGCGGATCTGCTGCCGACGTTTTAGTGCTATCTCAATGAAATACAATGCTGAAGGCACCAAGCACAGCATTCCGACCGGTCACATCACTGACAACACGTGAACCAGTTGATGGCGTCCGTACTTTGTTTGTTTCTGTATTGTTTAACGACCCATCGACAATACGAGTCATTTAGGATCAAACAACACTTTAAATTAGACATTCACATTGATGAACTTATTAAACTAAAACTAAATAAATTATAATATGTTAAGAATTTAGATTTACATCGACAAAAAACGAATTGGCTGCAAAATTAGGTATTGCCACATTTCTCAGAACAGTTAGTCGTTAATCGGGGATTTTTTTCTTTTGTTTTGTTTTACGGCCCATCCACAATTCGAGTCATTTAGGCCAAACATCGAAGCAAAGATAAACATTCACAAGAAAATGAATATATATAAAAAAGGGGGGAAAATGTGTAAAAAATGTTAACAACATCAATAGCAAACGCATTGTTTATAAAAGATATCTTATGTTATTATAGAGATTAACTGAATGTAAATAATCATATATTGATTGCACACAAAACTGTATCAAATAAACGTTTCATAGAGGGTACATTATAAAATCTGTCACATATTTGTATGATACAGAGTATTATTAATATGCACAATGAAACAATCTTGAAAAGTCTGGATTAAAAACTCATTTACCTTTTGTTTTTAAGTGCCTCTGATACAAGCCGACAATCGGGGCTCTGTAATTCGATGTTATCGGTCCTGAAAGAGAGAAATATTTTTTGTTTTTGTTTAATGTCCTATATGCATAAAAGGTAAATTAGATTGTACTCCGAATGTAAATTGTTACGGGGGTCAGGATGTTTCCTTTATATTCGACTCAATTTTATCAATTTCTTTGCATTGACTATAGGGGCTCGTTTTTTCAGAGGACATCTGTATAATGAATTCGATGTTTTATGTACAACATAAACAAACTATCTACAACGCACTCTGTCCCTGCAGGTAGGGCGTAAGAATTGTGCCTGCTGCCCCCATTGAATGATCTTAAGAGGCGACTAAATTTGGGATCGTATCTTTTCTCTTCTTTCTAAACGACTTCCTAATGTCTCCATAGACAATGCCTCACCTTTGGCCTTTAGTTGAGCGTTCGCCCCTTTGAGGAGGGCTTTGGGTTCTGTCCCCTTGCCGAGACATACCAAAGCCTGTGAAAATGATAGTTTCTACTCCTGCTTAACGCTGAGCAATTCAGGAGTGGGACGACTGGTTCGCCCGTTGTCAGTATAATGTGACCGGGTGGGGTGTCCTGCTGGGTGTCTTCGGCAGTATGTTTCAGTGAGGTAGCACTATAAAGTCGGCATCAGTTGCGCGCTATCACAAGGAGACAGACACGAACATATCGCAGCCTCCCAAAACACGTAGGCATACACTACACGCATGCATCTTGCAAAGAGGGGAAACCGTCCTTTAATGACCATAGCTGTTGATAGGACGTTGAACAATACAAAACCAAACCAAACCTAAGCACTCTGTGAACGGATTTTTTAAGTTGACGGCTATTACCAAATAAGTAGAAACATATTATATAAACAAGAGGCCAAATTGCCCTGTGTCGCTCACCTGGTATTGTTATCACCAATGTAGGCTTAAAATGGACTAAAATAAAGCTAGAGTCAGAATATCAGTATATATGAATCTAGGTTATTCAAAGAAAAGAACCTGTTTGACCTCTTAAACTTTGAAATCCTTACAAGGTAATTAAGTTGTTAAATGTTATAGCCCTTTATCTCAGCATGCAACTTGCAAAGTATAATCAATCTAAGCTATTTGTTTATTGAAATGAGGTCATTTAGGTGTTTTTACCCTTTTGAACATATGTGACATTGCAGGAGGGTCGATGATTCACATAAAAAACTTCATACATTTTGTATCTCTTCATGTGAGCATGCTACTTGGAAAAGTTTAGGTTACATTTTGTTAACGTCCTATTAACAGCTAAGGTCATTTAAGGACGTACCTCCGTGTATGTAGTGTATGCAGGAGACACGGGTATGTTGGCGTGCTTTCCTTCTTGTGATAGCGCAGATCTGATGCCGACTTTATAGTACAATCTCACTGAAATACCATGATGAAGGCTACCCCACACAGTATTCCGCCAGGTCACATGATACTGACAACGGGTGAACCAGTAGTTGCCAATCTAATAAATGCTGAACGTTAAGCAGGAAATAACAACTACCATTTTAAGGACTTTGGTATGTCCCGGCTTGGGAACAGAACCCATTGCCTTCCTTGCCTGGGCGAACGCTCAACATCAAGGCCAAAAGTGAGGTGTAGGGCGCTAGGAAATAAAGGAAAGATATAGATCCCAAATATTGCAATGGGTGCCGCATATTTCTTTTGTGTCCCCTATGAGAGGACACAAAAGCAAATCCCCAATTCTGCAGGGGGTTCAAGCATAAGTCGCCTACTACGATACATTCAGTGGGTAACAGCTGGTTTATTCTTTTCCCGATCCCCCATCTGCAGGGGTGGGGTGTACTGGGGAAAATATCACCGCCCTAAGCATTTGGTTATTTTCATGTAACCATCTTTCATTACAAGCAGTAGTTCATGACAACAGTTTCTACTCCTGCTTAACGCTCAGCAAATTAGGAGTGGGACGACTGGTTCGCCAGTTGTCAGTATAATGTGACCGGGAGGGGCGTCCTGCTGGGTGTCTTCGGCAGTATGTATCAGTGAGGTAGCACTATAAAGCCGGCATCAGTTCCGCGCTATCACAAGGAGACAAACACAAACATATCGCAGCCTCCCAAAATACACACGCATACACTACACGCATGCATCTTGCACACATGGGAAGCCGTCCTTAAATGACCTTAGCTGTCAATAGGACATTAAACAAAATAAAACCAAACCAAACATTTGACCCATATGATCTTTATAAGGACAAACATCATAGCTTTTGTCTGAACATGTAACTGGTCACATATCATCCTAGGCCGTTTGGTTATTCAGAAGAAATTATTTGAAGTGATGTTTAGCTCACCATCATCTGATGGTGGGCTATTCAAATCACCCTGCGTCTGTGGTCCGTCCGTCCGTCCGTCCGTCGTCCGTCCTTAAACAATTCTTGTTATCGGTATTTCTCAAGAAGTACCAGAGGGATCAAATTGTATATGTAGGTTCCCCTTGGTCCTTAGCTGTGCAGGGCAACTTTTGTGTCTGATCGGATAAACAACATGGCCGACAGTCAGCCATCTTGGATTTTTAAAGTGAAAATTTGTAATCGCTATTTCTCAAGAAGTACCAGAGGCATCTTTCTCAAATTTTATATGTAGGTTACCTTTGGTCCCTTGTTGTTGCAGCAGTGCCTAAAATGGATGGTCGCTTGTTCATGCGACCAAAAGTTGTCAAAAGTGAGGTAGTCACTGGCCCAACAAAAATAACTTGGGGGACTGTCGAAAAATTAATGAATAAAAGAAATGATAGTCCCTTCCACATTAACTGGGGGCAGTACATTTTTCAGTTGTCATTACTCCGAACTGTCCGTGATTTAGAAAATGTGATGATTTTATTTTCAGATTTTCTGTATAAATACTTCCAGGGTGTCTTCTTTGAGTTGCGTGTTTTGTGTATTTGTTTTTAGGAAGACCTGAATGGAGTGGATCATGTCAGGTTTTAACTAGGGTTGAATATTATCAAAAAAAAATAAAAATATATATTACAAACACTGTCATGTTATATGTTATTTAAATATGCTGAAACATTGTGCTAAATGCTGTGGAAATATTTCTTCACAAAATTATTTGGGCCACCAATATGTCATTTGGGCCAGTGCTTCAAATTTTGTACTCGCCCCAAAAAAGTTTTGGGCCAGCCAATGCAGGTTCCCCACTATCCTTTATTGTTCAGGTTTACTTTTGAAACTGATCAGTTAAACAAAATGGGACAGCCATCTATGATTTTTGACATTGAAGGTTTGTTAGTACTATTTCTCAGGAATAACTTGAGGGATCTTTCTTAAATTTGATATGTAGGTTCCCCTTGATCCCTCGTTGTGCATGTTATATTTTGAGACTGATCATAAAACAAAATGACTAAAGGAAGAACTAAACAGATCTTTCTCATATTGCAATGATTGATTCTATTTCTTTCACATTAAGTATTGTACTAGTAAATATGTGAAATGACAAACTCACGTTGAAGGTTGGCTTTCATACACATCAGTATTAAGTTTAGATCAACAGTTACCTCAAGGTTCATTTACTGTTAACATGACTCGATCAAACAGATTAGAGGAAAGAAGAGAAAAGATTGAATTGACAAAGAACTAATGAAGATGGTACAATGGTGGGTGCCAAGTTCCCCCTGGGATCTCTTGTTTCGACATGTTATCTATGTGACCTTGAATATAGGTGAAGTTCAATTAAACCAACAAACTTGGTAATTCTTTATCTAAGCATGCTTCTGGCCAGATATCAACATTCTTGGTCTTCTGCTTATTCAGAAGATGTCGTTTGAAAGACATATTTAACCCCTATAATCTTGAATATGTGCGAACAAATAAAAACTTGATCTTGCTCTTGATCCCCGTATGCTACTGGCAAAATATAATCATCCTGGGTATTTTGGTTTTCAGAAAAAGTTCACATATATATTTATTCAAACAACCCTGCGATCTTGAATACAAGTGAAACGTATTCATTTGAACACACTTAGTAGCCATTCATCAAAGCATGCTACTGCCCAAATAAAATCAGCCTTGTACCTTTGGTTTTTCAGAAGTTGTTTAAAGATTTTATCATTTTTGACACATGTGACTTTAAAAAAGTCAAGTGAAAAAACGTTTAAATTATTCAAACAACTTCTTTCGAATGATCGAAATCAATAGGTTAATGACATTTGCCTACAAATATTGAAGAAAAGGCTATTAAGTTTAAGTTATTCAATAAATAAATCGATTCGGTCCGGATTTAATGACATTATTTAGTTGGTATCGTTGGAATATACGTGTGTTTAACATTTAATCTTTAAGCTTAAGGGGCATTGATCGATAGTTCTGCTAAGAGAAACAAAATTTGATAGAATAAACTTACAACTGTTTGATAGGTGTGTCGTGGTCCGGTAGTTTTCTAGCAAGAAGAGAGTAAATCTCCAGCCTGGTATAACTCAACGTCTCTTGTTCGTGTTCCCTTTTCTTAGTAAGTCGGTCTTGGACATACTGTAAAGCTCGTTCAGCGTAAGCAAATATTTCGTTTTCAAAGGAAAACGTAAGGAATTTGCAAACCTTCGAGTTATTCTTCAAGTCTTCCTCAGGTTTATCCGCAAGAAAAAGCACATCTGATTCTTCTGTGATCTGTTGATGGAAATCATGGGGAAAAAGGTTAGTTGCAAGGTTCGAATGGAAAGGCAATGGACAAAGTTCTTTTAATTACTACAAGATTTTTTCAAGCTATTTATGAAAATGTTTCCCATCAGATTTCTTAATAGATCATCGACATTAGTTTTTGTTTTATAGGATTAAACGTACTATAAACAGCTAAGGTCATTCAAGGATATGCCTTCATGTGTGCAATGTGCTTTACTCTTACCCTTTATCGTAGCTTTCTAATTGCAAAATACCAACACCCCAATGCCTCTTGTTTATTGACTTTGAATATGGGCAAAGGTAATTCATTTGAACAAAACATATAACTTTTTCAAGGATTTGGTAATGTTTTAGTTTATTTAACGTCCTATCAGCTAAGGACATGCCTACATGTGAGTTGTATATGCGTGCTTGCGTGTGTGTGCGAGTGCAGGAGACAGGGCATGTTGGTGTATTTTATGTCCTCTGGTTGTTTCAGGGTTTTCAACGCATTTGCCCTTGCAACCTTGAATATGGATCAAGGTCATTCATTTGAATAAATTGATGGCTATTCATTCTAACATGTTACTGGCCAAACATCCTCTCTCCCTTGGCTTTTTTTCTCTAATTTTGACCCTTGTGACCTTGAAATGAGAAAGTAGATAGAGTTGCCAAACAAGCTCTAAATCTACATCCAATAGATATTAAAAATACCCTATAGTGATTTTAAACCTTTAATTGTGAATTTTATTTGAACGAATTGGCAAAATAAATGGTTTGAAACGGTAAACAACAAATTATTCTTAGTTCAACCCAACGTAGGTTCATGTGCGGCAGATGGACCGGGCCGTAGAGAGGAAGTTGTCCTCTCGCGACTGCGCATAGGCCATACCTACATCACACACAGTTATAATTTACATAAAGAAGAGCAACCTTGTTGTCATGCATGTGTTTAGCCATTTGCAGTCAAATATTTTACGATTGAATGCGCTGATTTCAAACAAAAACGTGACAGATTCTATAATGTATAGTGTATGAACAGTTTATTTGATAGTGTCTGTTCAATCAATGTGATTGTTTTTACATCTAATCGAAATTCATTTCTAGTTAGATGTATTCATTTTTGTGATAGCCTATTTTAACGTGTTATTTTACCCTAAATGATCATAGGAAAACCTTGAACATAGGTGAAGGTCATTCATTTTCACCAAGTTGATGGCCCTTCATTCTTGTATATGACTGGCCAAGTATAATCACCCTAGGCTTTTTAATTATTCCTTAGAAGTTGATCCCTGTGACCTTGAATATGGGTCAAGATAATTCCTTTGCACAAACTTGACGGCCCCCTTCCCCATTCTTCTACTGACCAATTAGCATAACCCTAGGCCTTTTGATTATCAATAAAATGTCGTTTACAGCAAATTGTTTACGTCGGACCACGGTATAAGCTCACTTGGTATTTGGGCTAGGTAAGCTAAAAAGGGCCGATATAGAATGATTGACTATGTAACTGTCCCCATTATCACAAAAATTGATTATCATTGCTCTTATAAAATTATTTACCTCGATGGGTGTAGCCCTCCGCGACAACAGACTAATCCACCTCTTCCCTTTCTTCTCTGTTCCGGACCATTCTGATATAAAACAAATGTACGTGTAAACTGAGTTGAGTTGCAGTGCAGAGACAAACGTTTTGTTGAATTGCTTGTTAACCCAGGCAGTCCGAACCAAACTTGGTCTGTACCTCGGTTTGTTTGTTTGGGGTTCAACGCCCTCGCACCAGGGTCATATGAGGTCGGGTGCCGTGGGAGAATGTTGATAGAAAAGAAAGAAGGCAGGAAAGATACGTTGTAATTAGTAGGATGTTTATCTACCCAAGTTGGCCGGCTGGAGCTCTGTGAATCGCCAGACAGGCTACATAGCCAATAAATTGATGCTGCCACGGGAGGTAAACCAACCAGATGATCTCCTTTATCGACCCCCGCCAAGAATCTGGCAAACTAATTTGGAAGATTATGAGGAGAAACTGCAAGAAGCAATTCAAGCTGCGAAAGTGATAGCTAGGACGGTCCTCAAAACCATTAAAAAAACATGAAACATGACTACGACATACGAGTTTAACCAGACAGCAGTAAAGGAAGGTGAAAACGTGTATGTGCTGAAAACTATCACTAAGAAGGGGCAGAACCCCAACCCTCATGGTGGAACATCTCCCTATGTCTACCGAGTTTCCCTGTTAAAAGCAGTGTCGGTTATAAACCATGACCCACTTAAAAAGTATCTGGATCGTGATGGTCCAGCGTGGTTAGCGGAGGCTTTGGAGGAATGGAGACAGAAAAGCTGGAAGACACTGCATTGTATTTGTTATGGACCAGACATCGGAACCCTTATGATACAGTGCGACTATTGTTATAAGTGGTTTCATGGAACCCGTATTTCCGTCACGGCGGATAATTCTAGCCATCTGTTATTGACCAGACATCGAAACCCTTATGGTGCAGTGCGACTATTTTTATAAGTGGTTTCATGGAACCTGTGTTTCCATCACGGCGGATGATTCAAGCCATCTGGAAATGTACCAAGACTAAATAAGACAAATAGTATTTGTAGTCATGTACACGTATGTAAATATTACGCATTCCGATGGCAGTCCGTGTATTGCCCGGGATGCCTCAGGAGTTCTGTATGAGCAGGCAGACAGCCTCGTTTTGGTCACCTGACACACTTTGAAAACAAAACATGTGATGTTCCAAGTGAACATAATATACAATACTCTTATATACAATACTAGATCTCAAGTATTGCAATGTGAGCAGCAGAAGACACGGAAGAGCACATGTACATTCTGACAAACACACAAGTGTAGCAGAAAAAAGTGATCATGGTACGATGAGAAAATACAGTTAAAGGAGAATATAAAGATATGGCATACCTTTCGTAATGTCCGTCACATGCTCCCCGCCGATGAGTTCAGAATGTTTGCTTGCATTCGGAATTATTACCAAAAAGGTAAAGCAATCATCTTTGATGATGTCTGGTACATCCAGATCCGCATCCTGTATTTTTGAGTGTATTCTAAGCGCAATCTCCGCATTGTAGTCCAAACGTCCATAGTCTTTTCTGGACACTTCGTACTTCAAAATTGTAAACGGACACTCTGTATTTATGTAATAAAATGTAACAGTATTATGACAAATTAAAACTAAAACTGCCATCGACCATTTAACGGGCTCTTCACTATTGTTGCAAATATTGTAATTTTATCAAGCCATTCGTTTGGTTTGGTTTTATTTTGTTAAACGTCCTATTAAGGTATTTCATACAGCGTCATGTTAATGAATATAGTTTGTAATGGGCTCATAACTTTTCTTCAAATGAAAAAAAATATGGAAGTTGCTTGGTATACCCATGTCAAGAACATTGTCAAAAATGACCTTTGCAGAAATTGTTTGTCGAAAAAAATGTTGATTTTGTCTGAAAAGTGATTTTTGAATGCAGAATTTGAGTGGCGCAAAAAGCAATTTAACCATTACTGGGTTATATATGTAGCTCCCTAAGACAAGACCCATGATATATTTTTTAAACAAGAGGCCCATGGGCCTTAACGGTCACCTGATATATTTATACAGAGAGTTGATTTTGCTTTTNCCACCCTACAGCCCTTGGGGGTAGGGCTGGCTCAAAATTTTCAAAGTATCAAACTGTCAACTCAAGGTTATAATTCCAATCAAGTTATTAACATGTAATATTCAAAGTATCATTTGCCATTATAAACCATAATAAACCCCCCCCCCTCCTTCCCCAGGGGGTAAACGTGAGACCCTAGGGTCATAAACCTTAAGACCCTTCCATCTATGAAGAGTATTTGATTCTACCATATCTGGATCTTGAGAAGAAGATTTTTGAAATTTCAGTAAATTCGACCCCTTTTGGCCCCACCCATCAGCCCCTGGGGGTCAGTCAGGGCTGATATGTGCTTATTATCAAACTGCTACCTAATACTGATATTGCTAACACAAATTGAATTACTTCAAATGGAAATTAAGCAAATGTTTGTCCAAAATATGATTTCCTTATATAAACTATAGTAAAGTTTACCCCCTCTCCAGGGGGAAACGTGAGACCCCAGGGTCAAGAAATTCACAATTTTGGTAAAGCACCTTAAGACCCTTCCATCTATGAAGAGTATTTGATACTACCATATCTGGGTCTTAAGAAGAAGATTTTTGAAATTTCAGTCAATTCAACCCTTTTTAGCCCCACCCATCAGCCCCTGGGAGTCAGTCGGGGCTCATAGATACATACTATCAAACTGCTACCTAGTACTGATAATGCTAACCCAAATTGAATTACTTCCAATGGAAATTAAACAAATGTTGGTCCAAAATGTGATTTCCCTATATAAACTATAGCAAAGTGTACCCCCTCCCCAGAAGAAAACGTGTGACCCCAGGGTCATGAAATTCACAATTGTGGTAAAGCACCTTAAGACCCTTCCGTCTATGAAGAGTATTTGATTCTACCATATCTGGGTCTTGAGAAGAAGATTTTTGAAATTTCAGTCCATTCAATCCTTTTTAGCCCCACCCATCAGCCCCTGGGAGTCAGCCGGGGCTCATAGGTACATACTATCAAACTGCTACCTAGTACTGATAATGCTAACCCAAATTGAATTACTTCCAATGAAAACTAAACAAATGTTGGTCCAAACTGTGATTTCCCTATATAAACTATAGTAAAATTTACCCCCTCCCCAGAGGGAAACGCGAGACCCCAGGGTCAAGAAATTCGCAATTTCAGTAAAGCACCTTAAGACCCTTCCATCTATGAAGAGTATTTGATTCTACCATATCTGGGTCTTGAGAAGAAGATTTTTGAAATTTCAGTCAATTCAA